GGAAAGTCCGGAGCGGACTCCCTCCGCCCGCCGCCTCTGCGGAGCGGGGCCTGGTGCTGGCGGCCCCGAAACACCCGCGACCCCCCAACCGGCGGCTTCCTCATAACTCCCAGATTTCTCTTTCAAAAACTGTGATTAGCGCTCACCTTGGCTCCCAGAAAACGTACAGCCAACTACCCCAGATAAAAATACTTTCTTTTTTTTGTTTTTCTTCTTTGCAATGCAACTGTCAGGAGATAACAACCCACTTACACCAAACCCGCAGCAGCTACAATTAATAGAATAAGATGTGTTAATGATGTCCTCAGATTTATTTCAACGAGCAATGGACTAATTAGAGTCCATTATTCTAAAAATACTCCTACTGCATCTTATTTGATGGTAATTAGTTCTTCAGCTTTTTTTAAACAGCACCACAGCACATTTTTCTTTCAATAGCATAATAGAAGGGTTTTTTTAGATGTTTGCATTTATTTCTTCTCTTTGAATCGGTCAGTTTCCACGGAAGAACATATAATTTAATAAAACCATCTTTAAGTGTGTTTCATAATGAATTAGGGATGTGTTTGTTCAACTGGCTTTGCATTCTAATTTAATTTCAAGATAAATGTTAGGAGAAATATCAGATAAAATTTCCTTAGTAAATTTAAGTTGGATTTTCATTTTAACCAAAGGGATAAGCACTTAAGGAGGGGAGAAAACCATGGAGGACAAGCTTCCATGGGGTAATGCTCAACAGAAAGGCAGGAGGCAGAAGGTGCTGGCATGCCCCATAGGAACGTGATCAATGTCAGGGGTGTGAGAGGTCAGGAAAGGACCTCTCGCTTAACCTGGACATTTCCTTACCACCCCTAGTCCGGGTTTGTGGATCTAATGCAGAGCTAGTCATCATGCAGCGGATCCTCAAATGATGAAATTTGGTTCCACCAAATCAATGCAGTGACAGTGGACAAACAGTTGGCTTTGAAAGCCACAAATTCATTTTAGTGCATTCAAAGTATGACAGTATTGACTGAAGACTTGTCATTTAGGCCTTTGAGGGCAGAAAGTAGACTGCTTCACTTGTGAATATTCCACGTATTTCAAAAAAATATTTTACTGATTGTATTGGTGTTGCTGTATGCTGATATAAACAGCATACATTTTGAAAACAGGACAGCTAAAAAGCTCTACAGAAATTGTCAGAAACACCAGTGTAACACCTTTCCTATCAAACAGCCACCTTCCTTACAGCAAAAGAAGACCAAGAAAATATATATATATATAACACAAAACTACCAGATTAAAAGAATGCACAGTGTGGATGGATATTAATTTCAAAGTGAAACTGAACTCGCAGAACAGATACGGACATTCAGAATGGCATAAGCTTTGTGTGGAAACCTGTTCCAGATGAATCCCTTCCAAAGAAGAGTAAATAGTTCCTTCATGCTGATTTAGTACTTGTCTTTCAGCAGCAGGTACAGTTAGTCTTGTTACACAGTCGCATTCATTTCACAGAGTTAGGCAAGACATGCTCGCACTGCAAATGGCCAGGAAGGCAAACCCAGGCACAAGAGTCTTCAGCTTGTTTTGGAATCAGACCCCGGAGGCGGATCCCAGTTTTTCAAGCCAGTGTTTAGTGCTTCAGAAAAACAAACTAAAGACTTTGATCTTAGTATTCACAGTATTTATAGCTGAAAATCATATCTGAGTTCTTACATCTGTCTACTGGAGTTTTTGTGCCACACTCGCATAAATCTGGGAGCACCACCAGCTGAAATTGATCCTTATGCAGAGCTTTTCAGATGCCTTCCAGCACAGAGAGGTGTTATTTCATTTTTCTATCAGCTTTCAACCTGGTGAACAACCTACAGAGTGATTCAGATTTAATTGTAACTTTATACATAACAGACTAAGTCCAAGAAACAGGGTAAACATTTTTATTAAACAGTTTACGTCATTTATCTAGATTAGCATTGTTACATATTTGTGCTTACACAAACTCAGGTTTTGGTTATTTTTCCTTACAAAGTTTCTTTGAACTGCCAAAATCATTCACCACAACTAAGAAACCCATGAAGACTCTACCAGTACTATAAAACAAAACACATATACGGCTATTGAGGCACCACGTTAAAATTCTCTATCTTAAAGCATACCTTTGCTTGAAACACTTACGAGAATTTAAAAATGTTCACTATCAGAAAAGAAATAAATTTCATATCAACACTTCCAAATGTACACATCTGACATGGCTAAATGAACCTTGTATTTAAAAAAAAAAAAAAAAATTGTAGTTTTCCATTCTTCTTTATCAGACTAGATTTTTTTTGTTGAATCATTTTCTGCTCTGTCTGCTTACACAGCTGAGTCCACAGCCTCTAAACAGCTATATATTGTAATAATTTCTTTGATTGTTCCCATAACAATTCCATAGACCATGACAGCAAGGCCTGTGGTTTATGATACCACCAAACTCCCAAGGAAAATGTCAAGCTGCTCCCTAAGCCATCCAGTTTAAAAATCTGTTAACAGAAACGTCCTTTCCGAATTATCTAAACAGTTGAACAAGTTGTTAGTATAAAATCTAAGACATCTTCAAAACACTGTCAAATTTAAGAAACGTTTAGGCATTTATCATCAAGGTGAAGTATTTCCACTGCTATGCTCAGGGTGAGGAGCAGCTCCCAGTCCACCAAAGGTCCTAACTGCATCGAGGGGAGTCAGATCCACTGCCTTCCAACATTTTTCAGCAAGAAACTTGGTGGTCTGAAGAGGTTATGCACTAACCTTGCTGGAAAATTGCACAGCAGAGTTCTGAAGCATGTTCCTGAGTTTATGTCAGTGGAATGTAAAAATGTGCTTATGTGTTTGGTTGACTCAAAACCTAAACCCTCTGTTTTTTTTCCCCAGAACTGGTTTGTTGCAGTTAGCTGAGGAGCAGCTTCACCTACATTGCTCTGTTGGTGTCTCTCGACCTGAACTTCAAGAGATCACTTCTGATGGGGATGAAATTTCATTCTTGGTGCTTCTCTTGTTTATTTTTTTGTCTCATCTGAGAATACAAGCACAATATTGTTACTGATTGGTTTGGGGGTTGACAGCTCCACCAGAACCTGTATAAAAACATTCAAACAACTTTTTATGTAATCCACCAAGCAGACAAACAGTGGTAGATTTTGGTATGCTCTCGCGACACATTTGCTTTATTAAGCCTAATAAAGACAGTCTCATACACTGAGCTACCCACAGCCCTAAAATTCTAGATCAAGGATGGGTTAGGCCAACTTTTGGTGGTCTGGAATTGCTATGAATTATCATGACAGTTTTCATACTAACTTAGAATAAAATATGCCACTTTAATGAAACAGAAAGACTCCTGAACCCAGGTTCAAATGTTAGCACATTTAAGTGTTCAGCTAGTTTTTCGGGGGGCTATTTTCTCATTAATCCAGTTTACATAGTTTGTCACTCGTGTATATACTCCAGGTTTGTTGACTCTGCCACAGCCATCTCCCCAGCTGATAACTCCATACAGGTAAGAGATTTCATTTTTTTCACAGGCCAGAGGTCCGCCAGAATCTCCCTGTGTTAAAAGTAAGGAAAGATTACCTAATTTGATAGAAAGCAGTCAGAAAAAGATCAATTTGGGAAAGTCCTAAATTAAGAATGTTTGCATGTGAGATTTAAACTGAAAAAAAAATAATATGGAAGCAGTACTGTACTAAGTTTCATAGTCATACTCACCTCTAATATGATGGTGGTTTTTTTTAATTCCACATGGAACAGATATATCAAAATAAAAGATTTTGTTTAAAAAAAATGAAATTCTTTTTGATTCAGACACCTACTGAAGAGCACGGTTGATCTGGGTCACTTCCAATGGGAGTAAGCAAGTCATTGAGGTTTACGCTACATTCTAATATGGGCTCTGCATGGACAGATTACATAAGGCGGAGAATATTTGGAGAGTTTCTCAGTGCAGTTTATTGCAACCCTCAGAGACATGAAAGTTTTCAAAGAAAGGTGTTGCATACATGCACACTTTTTCATGTGACTGTGGGATGCTATAATTTTATATGGCATATGAGGTTTTTTGCATCTGTTGAATTTGATGCTACTGAGCATTTACCTTGCCATTAAAACCATAAATCAAAAATAAGAGCAAACTAATGTTTGATGACACACCACAGCAAGGATGAATTTTGAATGTTTCTACTTATTCAAAAGCTTGCAAGCATTCAGGAAAGGGGGTTTTATTATTAATACTCTCAGATTGACTTTCTACAGGAACGAAAATGTTAGAAATTAAAAGAAAAATTTGACTTAGTAAACAGTACTGGTGAAAGGAGCCACCACTCTAGTTATTTGAGACTAAGGAGAAATATATTTTTTCCTATTTAAAAAGAAAATCCCTTGAGAGCAAAGTAAGTATGAAAATTGTGTTGCCTTTATACTAGGAGATTTCTGTGATAAATGAGGGACATCAAATGAAGTCTTGCATCTGAGATCAATTTACTTCTCAGAACCTTGCTTATTTCTCCACCACTCATCTCATTGATTGCAATTTTGTTATTAGTGCACTAATTTTAAAAAAAAAAAAAAGTTTCCAAGAAAATCTTTAAAAAATAATCAAGCAGAACACACTGTCTGCCTGGTATTTCTTGGTCTTGAGATATTTTTATACATAACAGATGGTTTATAGTTTAATTTCCTAAGCACACATTAAGAAAACTCAGAGGTCAGCTACATTTGTTGTGACATTAAGTGGTCTACACTATTTCTCCTTAGAACACACTACAAATCTGCCAACAGGAAAAAAAAAATTATTGATTCACTAATAATGATTTCATGTCATGAGCACTATTCTTCAGCAACATCTGTGACGCTAAATCACTGTTTCTCAGACTTTGCAACTCTCTCCAGACCTCTCTCCAGTCTTTGTGCAGGTCCTCTCTTCTTCCCTCTGCTTTCTTCTTTCTCTCTCCCATTCCTGATCAACTGTTTTTCCAGGGCAGAGAGTGAAAACCAGGTATAATGCTGACTTTTGTGTATGTACTTCCTGGGTAAGGCAAGGAAAGCTGAGCAAGCAAGGGAGTTTCTGTTTCTCTGGCTAGTATGAACACTTGCAGCCAATAACTGCAGTCAGTTCTCAGCCCTGGCCCAGGAACCTTGAGCCACTGCTGGCTGCTGCCATTTCACTCCTGACACCTTCCTTTGGACACTTTTATGATCTCTATAGGTGTTCCAGAACACAGTATACATGATATTCTTTGCTTTACTTAATCTCTCTTCCAACTATTAGCTATGTGCTGCCTGTTCCCAGATTTATGCTTCAAAACGAACTGAAGATAAAATCTGAAGGTTTATGTACGGAATAATCTGATCCTTTGTTTAAAAAATAGTCTCATCTATCACCACAACAATTCTGCATCCTTATTCAGAGCTAAGGTGTGACATAATTAAAAAAGAGATGCAAAGCAGTAAGAGCACGAGCTCATTCCACAAGGGACAGAAGTTATGAACCACCATTTCCACACCGTTAAATCCCATCGGCTATACTAACCTCAGCTCCTCCCTCCTCCAAACCTCACCGCTGCTTCCCACCTCCTACCCAGGTATCCACACTTCTGTTAGGCAAGAGGCAGCAGCTCAGGGATTTGGCTCCGCACATGTATGGGCTGGTTGGCCCCCAGCACATCCCTGCCAGCTGGACAGCAAACCACCGCCTCCACACTGCCAGCTCAGCCAGGAGCCAAAGCAATTCACTCTCCAGTGCATAGCCTTTCATGAAGGTAGGAGGAATATAACACCCTGGAGGGTTTTTTCACCCTTCTGTAGAACTTAATTGCCATTGAACAGGTTAAAAAATGAAGGTGGAAGCAAACAGTGCAGTCACATAAGTTTCTTCTCTTTAAGAACATTTCTTTTCTTTAGGAACACTGTAATGTCAAAAGTAAGCACTGTAACACTGCAATATTTCTGGCAATAATATACATTTATATTCTCTGCCTAGAGATGACTCACAACATTACCTGACAAGCATCAGATTTGCTATCAATGTAGCCAGCACAGAACATATTTTCAGTGATTTCTGTTCCATAAATTTCAGGGCTTCTGCACTTGTCCTCAGGAATAATTGGAATCAGGGTTTCTTGCAGGACATTTGAATAACCAGATATATCTTTAAAAAAAAAATCCCAGAGCGGAAAAGAAAGTCATTTTTATAAAATGTGAAGAGTGTAACGTGGAAACACAATGCACAATACAACACATAAACACACTTACATCTTAGTCACATTTGTTTTGTGGATCTTATTTTTCTAGTGACCAGATCACTCTCTGCTCCTACAGCCAGGCTCCATGCCCTTTAAAATAACAGTATGCCATGTCCAGACATCAATCCACTTTGGATTCTCTCATTTCCCAGGGACTCAGGAACACTGCCCCAGCATTACTGCCCTCTCCTCTTTCCAGGTGTAATATTACATCATCAATTTACCAAAGACTCCATTACCTCTTTTTGCCTTTAGACTACACATTTAGACCAGGACACCATTTTCTTATAATAAATCTCTTACCAAAAATGAGACAGCCAGCTCCCTCACCCTTTTCATCCATCTATGCAGGTCTCTGCTATCTTCACATCAAAGCAGCATGGTCAAGCATCATAATCCTGAAATTCCTCATCTAAAAGGACGGGATGGATTTTTTTCCACTTTTCTCAAACTGGATGTAAGCACTTCTTAGCCCAAACTCTATCTTGCCCTCTCCTGTAGATGTTTTCAAAGTTTCTTGCCAGTGAAGGTAAAGTTCTCCACCATCACAGACTAGTAAGGTGATTGGGTTTGGTTTGCAGTCTTTGACATCTGCCTTGAGAAACCAGGGGTAGGATTCACTCGACTAAAGTGTCAAGTTGTTGACACCTACAACTAAGCTACTTGCTGCCCTCCCTGTCCACGGAGACCTAGCTAGCCCACAGCTCATCCTAAAACAGATGTGAACATTTGGTCAAGGGAACCACACTCCAAATTCCAAGGACTACAAAGGAAGTTCAGGATGACTATTTCAGATGTAAATGTTGTAGACATCTAAAAGTAGGTTGAAAGAATCCCACCAAAAGCCCCTTGGAAAATATTTTATGAAACTATCAGTTGCATAACATATACTTGAGAATTATGTTTTAATTATCACCATTTTTTTCTACAGATACCAACTCCCATGTTACTCACTCTCGTGCCTGTGTCCCCATCCAGAAATCTGACATTTGAACTGATCAGGGAAAACGGTGTTACTTTCTGGCAAGCAGATGGGCTGAACAAACTGGGACTTGACGGCACATCGTTGGCCATTCTTCTTCAGCTTAATCAAAGCTGCAGAACAGAAAATATAGGAGGAATAAAGTGACTGTTCCCTTTCTTTAAAGGGATTGGCAGCAATGGGTCTCAGATACAACTTTAATTATCCCCTAAGCCTCTCTTAATTAATATATTTCAATCAAAGATAGACAGACTCATCTCAACAGCACCTGATTTCACAGCAAATTGAAGGCTGAAATATTCAGCTACTCCCCTTGTGGGAATATTTATTTTATGCTGCACTCACTGAACAGATTTTGCTTCACTGCCTTTGTAGAGAAAGGGGAAGATAGAAAATACATATGTTTCCTCCCACCTTTAAGTTAAGTAACAGTGACATATCCACAACTTTCAGCTGAAATAAGTGGGATGTGCAAGTGCTCACTGCTTCTGAAAGTCTGGCCACTTGCCTAATACCAATTTGATTTAAAAAATTAATTACTGCAAAGGCTGTTGTATTTTGTTCTCTGCGTTATCACTGAGTTCAGTGAAATTCTAGATCTTGAAAACTGAGGAATAAAAAATCAGGATATTTCAAAACCGAGCTTCTGAAAGCTACAAAGAGTTAAACAACCTACACAACCTTTGCTATCCCCTCAGGGGGCTGGAGACAGTGTAAATATGGACCTGGGCAGCGTCATGAGCTTGATACTGAAAGAACATGTCAAAAGGAGGAGAAACATTGGTTCCCCTGTAGCAAACCTTTTTGTGTTTGGCTGTAGAGCAACAGAAGCGGCTTTGTGCTGGGTATAACAAGGGCAGCATGTTGGGTTTGGACACACTGCTCAAAGAGGACAGAGCTGAGGTAATGTGGACCCACCTATTAAAGCTTTACATCATGCTTTTTGGAATCTCCAGGTTTTCTGAGCACAGCTGTGTGGCAAGCAAGAGATCCCACTGGATAGTCTTATTTCTCTATTGACTACATTTTTTGGAACATGTAAGGCATATCTCACGGGCTGAGAAGCCCACGCAAGCTGCTTTCCATCACTCAGCAGCTTGTTCTTCCTCACCTTCCTCCTCTTCCCCGCCAACTCTGCCTGTTTCTGAATCCCCTGAACTTCCCAGGAAACACTCATGTGGTAGTTTGTTTCCGTTTGAAAAACAGTCTCATCAGGAAATAACTCTTCTGCTGCATCGGTAGAAATCACTGACAGCCGAATGCGCCCCCACAGCTTTTCTCCCCCAGTTTCTGCCTGCTTGTTTGTTTGCAGTGGGGCACATCTTAGGAACTCCATCTTCAGCTGATCCTAGATTTGTACACTGCACATTGGTGAGGTATGCCAAATTTCAGCGTAATTCAAAAAGTTAGGAGATCTCAAAGTGCCAATGATGGTTTACACCAGGATATTTTGGAGCTGAGTAATACACCAAATCCCGTTGTTCTCCTGGTATGCTGTGACAGAGCTCCCACCAACACAGAATCTGAATGCTTTTTGCTACAGAGTGGAAAATATTCCTCATCTGGAAGCAAAAAAGCCAGTATATGCCTGACCTAAGATATCCCCAATGTCAGGCTGTTAAATAGTCTCATAGACAAAGTGCTCAAACACCTTGATGCTCTGGTGTGATGTGCCACCTTCCACAAGAGCAGATCAGAAAATAAGTGAGTTGCTGTTCCATTGTCATTCTGACTCACGTTACAAGGTCAATCAGAAGTGCATTTAACTTTTGACTGATAAGACACCTGATTTTTAATCCTATCTCAGTGTAAAAAATTATTCTTAGTAACGTAGACTTTCAGAGCAGAAGGGGCTATTATATTCATCTAGTCAGATCCTCTATACAATACAGACAATAGAATTCTACCAAGTAATCCCTGCATCAAGCCCACAGTTTCTGGTTCAGTTAAAAAAAATGCCCAGTCCCACAAAGACTTGAAGTGATGATGAATCTGCTATACATTTAGGTAAATTGCTCCAAAGGCTAATTATCATAATTATTTAAAATTTGCAATTTATTTCTCATCTGAATTTGTCTATCTTTCAGATGCTGTTATAACTCAGGTAGAACTAAGAACTCTCTGCGCTCGAAAGCTTCTCCTAATGCCTATGCTTTTTCCACTATGAGGACAGTTCTTGACAGATCAATTCGAAACTAACTTGAGTAAACAGAAAATAAAGCTGTAAGAACAAAAACACTCACCAATATCATGTTCAGTAGGGTTGAACACAGAATACTGAGGATGCAAGATGTATTTCTCTATTTCAAAAGTTTGCGTTACGTCAGTTGTTTTATTAAATATATGCTGACCCAGAACTACCCTAATAGTCGATTTTAGTGGACTGTAATACAAAAGAGAGAACAAGCAATTCTGTGATTAGCAGGAAAAAAAAAACTCATTTCCAAAGGCTGTGTGTTCCATAAACTGTAATAACCTCAGCCCCTCACCACATCCATTATTTACCCTCCCATAGTGCCTCGACCTGTTTCCCAGGCTTCCTGCCTACTGTGGACCAGGAAAAAGATGACTAATGCTACAGTGAGTCCCAGTCTCCGTAGGTCCTGATTAACCTAATTAAAGGCAAGCAGAGGCACTGCTGCCCAGCTGCTGCCTGGCTGACAAGCATCTTCAGGGGCTGCAAGCACTTCTTGTTCTAGAAATGTAACTGAGTCAACTCCGACCAGACTTTGCCAATGAGTACAAAAATTACTGAGGAAGAAATGAAGGACCAAAAGATGAGTCTGTGGTGGATATTTCATTTCTCTGGGAAACCAGGCTCTTAAAATATTACAAGTGTCGGTCAAGATTTTAAAGGTGCTGGCAGACTGAGAGCTCAAGAATGTCTGGGTAGCTTCCACCTGAGAGCTATCACCACCTCTGCTCTGAGATTAGATTGATCTATGTTAAATCTGTTGTTTAGAATCAAAAGCAACTTGGTGGAGGAACGTCCCAACAGCATATTGATCTAATGGGAAAAACCACACTCAGAGAAGAATACAGTTTTTGTAATTCACACCGTCTTTTTCAGGCATTGATTGTTTACTTTAAAAAGACCACAGTCCTCTCATATCCAGTGTCACAGGACAGACAACTAATAAGAACCAGTAAAACAGCTGGGAAAAAAGGGGCGTTTGGGAATAACAGGGAAGTATTTGGAAAGACAGTAAATTGTCTAGCTTTGAAAGTAATGGAATTCAAATTTCACTCTTGCTTTAGAACCAATTTGATCTGCATGTGTGTAAGTCTACAATGAACTTAGCAAGCGTCTTCAACATTGGAGCACTCATATGTTTTGTTATCCAGTGCAGGAGCAGAAAATATCTGCTGTCACGCATCATGCACGGATGCAGAGTGGTGAGCATTATTGCAAAGATTCTCTAGTTGTGTTTCTGTACATCAGCTGCCCCCGTCAGAAACAAAAGCACTGTGGTCTCCTCCAGTACTGAGCACGAAGCAGTGTACTTAGAGGAAAGAGATTCTGGCTAATTGCAACACAGACAGCCGGCAGCTACCCTGCAACAATAACTGTGCTTATAATTAACAAAGAAAAGCACAAAGTTACTCTTTCTGTGACTGGAAAACAAGAAGACAATAAAATATTCATCAATTGATATATAAGGCCAGGATTTTCTCAGCATTCTTGCAGTGGTAAACCAACACCCTTGAAAATCAGACTTTTGCTTCCCAGGATAGGACTTAGAATAAATTTGAAAGGCACTGAATGGTTCTACTATGGCTTACAGGTGGTTCATTCAGGAAAAGAAATAAAACAGGAGGGGTTACAGAAAAGGAAAAAAAAAAAAAGAAGTTAGCTGCACAGGTATCTATTGTCGCCTAGCGGAAAACAGTTGAAATTGTGGTACTAAACATACGGAAGAGTGCAAATTACAATGCAGCAATTATGGAAAATCTGTATGTACCAAACCACCAGCTGGAAGTGGGTGGAAATGTCCTGAATAGCTGCCAAAGTTAGTAGCTATTTCACAACATTTGAAAAACAAATGCGTTGTGGCTCGAGCTCCAAATGCTTCAGTACAGCATTCACAATGGTATTATTAGCTCTCCAAGCTATCAGTGTATGTATTCTGGCACGAGGTTTTCTGTTTCTCTTGGCTTCTTTACTATGCAAAGGAACAATGGGTATGAAATGATGTAATATTTCTCCCATCAATGTGATCAAACTGAAATCAGGGAAAGTGTTCAGGGTTTGTAGAAAAGAAAATATTTAGAATAAAGTAAGAGCATCCTATAGTCAGTATTTTCTCCAGTGTCCTTCAACTGGAGAACAAAAAAACTCAAAAAAATTCAAAATGCCTCTCAAGGAAATCAGCCTCAAAAATCTAACAGTTCAGTTCTTCCCTTTGGCTTTTCATAAAGCTCAGCCCACTCTATTTGTGTCAACCGACGGTAATTTATTGTCTCTAATAAATCATCACTTGGCTCTCTCAGCCTTTTTGAACAAAACACAGCAGTGAGCACAGTCATGTCTGCTACATCTCAAAGCAGGCATAAACATTCAAAAAGGTAACTGAGAAGAAGAGAAATACTTATATGCCTGCACATGCGAGCTCCCATTCTATCTCCTGCTCAGCACTACCTTGTTCCTTCATTTAGGTCATTTAGCTTTTTTGAGACTTAAGGAACACGGTAAGGGCTTATGAGATAACACGACTCCAAGCTATTTGTTAGTTCATGAGCGGCATTCAAATTGCCAGAAACTCCTTTTGAGACATTGCGCTTTTATAATCTTGTCTTCTTTCTTACTTGTTTCAGTTCAGGTTTGTTGTGAGTCACAAGCAGACGGTGACTATGAGGAGGAGAGGACCTACTGTCAAACTAATGGGTGAGTTTACCTGTTAGCAAAGCAGTGTGCTGCTGACACAACCCAGCAAGTCTGAATAAGGCTTCCCCCACAGAAACTCTCTCCAATGTATATAGCTGCTGTCCAGGGGTGAGATCCAGGCAGAGATGAAGATCCCCCAACAATCCTAGGTCTCACAAAACTTCTTTTTTTGTGTCTTCTCCCGCATGGTCTTCTGGTAACTGCAGAACTATCTACATTGTCTGGAACTGGTGGCCTCCTTTCCCTGCTTGCTGAGATATAAAGGGGTATGGCATCAGACTATAAATCTTTGTAATTTCTAAGGACTGGAACTTTGACAGGCATCTTTAAAAGAAAGGTTTGTTAAATTATCATTAAACATGCACATACTACTGAATCTCATTCAGTTCCTCGGAAGACTTGTAAGACTGAAAGCTATGCCTATTCCCAACACCCTGGCTACACATGTACTACTGTAAAGTAAACGCATCTGTGAACATTCCCGGACACTGTTTCATTTACCAGTACAAGTATAGCTTTCACTACTAGAGGAGGCACAACAGAATGCATGATACATCACATCTTCCTTTTGGGATTCTGGACTGGGCTTTGCTATTGCGGTAGCAAGGACTAGGACACTTGCGTTAAACGTGTGATCGATCAAATGCATTAGAACCATAAAGGGGAAATAAAAGGACCACTCTATAGACTGACCTTTCAGATTACAACTCCGTTCTAAAGGTCAGCTTCAACATTAACAATGGTTAAATATTAATTTAGGGGAAGAGCACAATCTTTAGGTTTTGAAATTAAATACTATGTCTCATACATCTTCAGGATCCCATCCTCTATTTGCTCACAGAGGACCATTCACTTCTCTGGGCCTGTAATTCCCTGAGTGATGACAATTTGTAAAAAAGCATCAATCATTTCTGACATCTTGCATGTTCTAGCAGGAAATCTGGTGATATTAGGATGATTTTGACAGAAAGCAGTAGTGTGGCACCACTGCTACACAGTATTTCAGGACAAAAATCACAGATTGTATCACAACTCCAAAAAATGCGGAAGAAGTTTGTTGTTGTCATTCGATTTACTGCAAACAGTAAAATATTCAACACTCCTGAGAACAGTAGATCATTCAAAATTATACAGTGAAAGCTTGTTCTAGTATCAATAAATCTTTCTTCATTCATTCAAACATGAACTTTAAGAGAGCCTTTACATACCACAAGATGGAACATCACAATACTCCCAAGACAAACTGTTGTCCTTCATGATGTAGCACCATGGTTTCTCATCATCATCTGGATTTCTAATCAATTCAGGGGGAGTGAATTACAAGCATTAACCACATTGTTGTTCCAAGCTTCCCAAAGGTTTTCTGCTTTTTCCTCTGCACCATGCAGAGGACTGTCAGGTTTCGAGCCGTCTGACAAAGCACTGAAGCACCTGCTAACCCCTAAATGGGTGAGCAGCCTTTCAGTAGCATTCTTCATGCTTAAAGCTAACCAAGCCTAAGATTCTCTAGGACCTGCAATACAGACACATGACGAAACACCTGTAAAATTTGCCTACAAGTATTTGGATGCATTAGCATGTTCACATGGTTTAAATACAGCCCACATTGAAGTGCTTCAACAGATACCAGCTCAGCTATTTTCAGGACTAGATCCCATGGGAGAGATTCCTTTTTTAGATGATTTTTTTAAGCAAGGAAATTCCAACACAGGTAGATTCATAGAAAATCCATAACAAGAATAGCTAGCAAAAATGAATTTGAGAAGCTCAGATTCACATTCCCTGGAGAGTCTGAGGAAATGAAAGACTACCTCACGAAAATACTGTATTCCTCAAAAAAGGAAAAAAATGGAATATCAGAAACAATTTAGCCCTTTGTTACCTTGGCGTTAAACACATTTTGGTTTCATTCCATTCAGATTTCTCCATGGTACGGCTTAATTGCCTTTATCAACGCTATACGAGTAACCAGAAATTTGCCCAGTTTACTCATCTGAGAAAATACAGAAACTTTGAAGACCCAGAAAGATCTTCAGTAGGCCAAGAAACTAGACAAGGTAATTCAGAGCTCCAGATAAACAGTAATTCTAATTTCAGTTGGATTTATCAGAAGTACTATCCGTTATTGTGAGGTTCTTCAATATTTTTTTCTTTTTATTCTGACTGCTCTTCAGAAAAGATTAAAGCACTTTCAGATTCTCAGAACTGAAGAAGCAACACAGGTTGAGTCATCTTCCACCAACGTTTCTAAATTAGACTATTTGAAGAAGAAGATATCTGCAGGATTACATAGTATAGCAGAGATATCCCCAGAAATTGTAACAAGCTGACAAAAAAGTGAAAAGCTTTTTTCTCCGCTCTACAGAACATGAACACATCAGCTCCTACACCATTTTATTCTTTGCATTTCAAATCTGCAAGTGAATATTGTGCATAAATGATGCAACTCGGAGGGATCGAGTTTTATCAAAGCATAAAATATGTGCCCAATAAATTGCCATGCTGGGACACCATAAATCTCATTCTTAAGTGCTTGAATCACGACGAAGCCTTGGGAAGTAAGTTGATCTGGGTTAAGGGAGGGAGTAGGAACTGTTTATTATTAGTTTTTGTTAGATAGAGAAGAAGAGCTACTTTCAGCATGCATGCATGCTTTTTATCTCCAAACAAATTAGGAAATGCAGTACATTCTGATCTTCCTGAAATACTGGTCTAACTTCCATTAAAAAAACCAACAACAACAAAAAAGACCCAAAAACACGCAAAAAAACCAAAAAAACCTTAGACATCAACCAGTAATTAATGAAGAAGCATCTGACATTTGCCATTTCTAGCATTTACTCATCTCCAGGATTCTCTCTAAAAGGAAACATTTCCTTTGTTTGTCTATATCCATTGATCTCATGAAGACCTCACAGTCAGTGGGAACATAAAATAACTGAGGAGAAAGCACAAACCTATATATCGCAAACTTCATTACGGCTGTACAGTAAACCTTAGCAGAAATGTAGTTTATTGTATGTGTGGTTCAATCAAAACTGAAACACTGTGAAATCTTATTTTGCAATAATTTTGCTTGGAAAGAAATCCATGAAAGAAATTGAACATTCCATGTCAACATTATTGAAGTATATTGCTTTGATTTTTTCATTTTCAAATAACTTTTCATTTTTTCACAATTTAAGAATTAGAAATCAAAAGTTAACCATTTTAGTTTGGCTGGTGCATTTCTTTCTCCTTTTGGATAGTCACTAAGGTCTCATTTAGAAAAAAAAATCCCATAAAAAAAATTACCTGGAATTTCCCTCATTATTTTGTGTCTAAGCTTCACTTGGCAGACCGAGCTATTGATTTAGTCTTGTCTACCAAATCTTGTCTTCTATACACTTACGTCCCTTGCGTCAGGTTGTTAAAGTCAGTCTAGCATTTCCAAGACAGGGATAACACCTGCTTTGAGATTCCTGGCCCTTCTCCCTTCTGCAATTCATCCATCTCTTGATTTACAAATACAGGGACCTTTTCTCACCTGCAGTAAGAGAAAGGCCCCAAGCCAAGCTGTACTGCTTTCTCCACGCTGTCGACGTGAAGCTCTTCATAAAGCAAGTCTGAATGCCAAGGCAAGCAGCTGTGTCCAGAAACAGTCTTCTTTGCTGTACCTCTGTACTCCATGCCACTGCCAACATAGCACCGATGGCTAGGAACTGGCAAAGCATAAAACACTGGTCAGGAATCGGTGAAAATTACATGTTACATGCTTACTTCACTGCTGAGGTCCCAAATGACAGCCACTGGGACCAATTCTCTATAGCACCTCTTACCTTTCACAGGAACTGAACATAACAAATGAAGATTTATTTTAATTTTTTTTTTTTTTTAATAAAAGAACCCAGGCAGTTAAAAATTCTGTTTAAAATTAGTAGTGAGTTACCATCCTTTTACACATGCACAAATAACTATTCAACAGGCAGCACGGCAGAAAATTAGACCTAAAATTTGTACTGTGTATGGAAAATTTTAGTCAGCAATCTGCAGCAAAGTCAGCAATATGGCTGGGATTCCTTCTGTCTAATTTTAGACACAACTGAGCTCATCACTGGAGGCTCCCTTTTTAGTCAGTTAAGAGAAACAGGCATTTCTAGCAACAAAGTTATCCAGCCTGTTTGAGGCGACATTTTTAAGACAAGATAAATCTTGCCACACACTCTTGACTGCTTTGACTGAATCTCCATTGACAATAAAGGGAGCTTTAGTCAACCAGCTCAGATAGAGTTGTAGTGACAACAATCCTGCCCTGCCAGCAAGTGTTTCAAAGGCCTGATTTTGGAAAATACTTTTTATGGCCTCATATATACCCATATGTATACACTGCACCCATGTATGTTATGTATATGCAGCTACATATTGCAAACATATAAGTTTTGCAAAAATGTTACTAGTAGATCGAATTTCCTTATCCAAAACCCATTTCTTTGTCACCTGCACATGAGTTCTTTCTTCAGATAAGTCTGACACATACATATTCTATGACCTGTATACTCAGCTGCTGAGATCTATCAACAGTGCATACCGGCATTATGGCTGAAAAACATATGGGGATGCATTTGTATACAAATAGCTACACTGAGCAGAAAGTCTACACTTCAAAACACGGTTCAGAGTATCCCAAAGGAAACACAAAACCATTTAATGTACAAAGAGGATTAATTGTGACCAAGCCTCAGAGGATTTCTTACCCCAGCCATGTCAAAGTGACTTATCCTTGACATCTGCAAGACTAGTGGAATCTCCTTCTAAACTTATAAACATACTTAAATATATAACATCATGATATTCCTTTACTGTTGAAAAACACACTGTGGGGATGATCTATCACACTACACAATGTGGACAGCTATTGCCAAAGATCTGTTTATTTTGACAGAACAAGGTGACACATGAACCCAGGGGTATAACCAGCACTGAAACAGTGAATCACAGCAATGAACTGCTGATGTCAATTACCCTTCCAAGTCATCAGTGTAGCAACAAACCTCAAAACCACAAGCAAGCATATGGCATAAATTTGAGAGCTGAAGGTCGAAATGTTTGGTACAAGAACTTCAGTATGAGTTAGCATACAAATACTTAGCAAAATTCGTTTTCTAGCTTAGCCCAGCAGACACTTCTGAGATGGTAAACCGATATTTTCTCCCACTCACCCCCTGGGTCAAATTCCCTTTATTTCAGTAACTATGAATACAACATTAAATCAAACCCAGATTTTAACAACCATAATCTAGGAGCTCACAGAAAATAATTTGTCTATCATTTGTGTTGCCAGCAATAGTAACCATTTCTTGGCAACCCTGCCGTTTATTTTCTGGGCAAGTGGCAAGTTACACTGTTTTGTTTGTCTGAAATGGTGTCATGAAAGTACCACCATCATGCTGTATGCTGAATTCTTTCATTTATCCAGGGAAGTGCCAGGTGCTGTTTTTATTTGTGCTGTATTTATTACATTCAGAAGTGATTTAAAGTTGACTACTTTTTGGAGGATGAAACAAGAGATTCTGTTTCACTGCAGAACCAGGGACATATTCTGCAATACCAATGGTTTGGACATCTTGCAGATGGTGTTTACAAGTTGTGCTCATCCTTGTCAGGCTTAAAAGCCAGTGCATCTCTGTTTCAGCAGGTCTGCCAGTCATTGCTAAAGCTGCCAGAAGATTGTAACTGAAGAATTTGGCCCCTTTCTGAATCATCCCTCATGTTCTTCTCCTGTAACTAAGAAGTTTGGATTACATGTCTCACTTGTTGAGAGGAACAGTAATTTCTCTCAGAAAGTTTTTTTTTTTCTCTTTGTTTTATAAGGAGCCTTTTGGGCACAGAAGTAAAATGACTCAATCTCGTGTCTTGTGGAGAAGCATCTAGGTTAACCCAGTTGTTTCATTAGTAGCTTTCCATCGGTCTGTTCTCCACTCCAGCAAGCTTTATTTGACTGGCTTTCAGTAGCACCCAAGTACCCACATCACAGCCCATTATGTATCTAAGGCCATTAAGAACTATATGCAAAACTTAATGCATTTTATCACCTATAATTCAAGACAAACAGTTTTCAAAAAAATCTCTGAAACTATTGCAGTTGTACAGATCCTTTGCTTCTAATACTCTTTTTTGAACTGTTGCGGCACTGAAAAATCTTTTTCCCTCTGTCAGAAACAGTGTGTAGGTGGTCTGCTTTCAGCAGTTCTTAATGGAATGCTCTGACTGGGAATTTTTCGTTCTCAATTCTTTATAGCTCCTGCAATTTCTCATAACTCTGAAACATATTTATTTTCTTACGTGGAAGAAAGTAATGGAGGACATAATATATATATTTTTATTTCTTGTTCATTCACTTCCCTGCGGTACTGTCAATCACTATGGTAAGAGTAGAAATGGCTTAAACTTTCAGATGATCAAAGTTTGGATGCAAATGCAGATTCAAGTTACTCTGCAGACCTACGCCACTATCAGCCCCATTTGTTTCTTTTCAGAAAAAAAAAAAAAATTAAAGCTAGAAATAATTTCTTGTTGTGATTTATTTTTAAAATCCAAGAGGTTGAAATAGCTCATATAAAACATTCTAGTTGTGTTAGGATGTTTTATCAGCATGTCACTCGCCAATTCTTTGCCTTCTAATTTTTCAGTAAAAAGCAGTTTGAGGTCTTAAAATTAAAAGCAACATGAAATAGAAGTTGTTCAACCAGTTTTAAATGCTAACTTCCTGAAAACATTTCACAACACTTTTTGTCATCAGATCCGTTTTCAGGTTCTGTAGTTACACACCTGAACATTTTTATGAGTTTCTTTTGGAAGTCTTTCTGTAGAAAACAATGTATCTTTTAGATTTTCTTTTCCTCAGAACATCTTATTAACAATTTTCCTAATGTTTTCGAACTTTGACTGTATTTTCCTTCCAGATGTGCATAAGCCGTTTCATTCTGTTAACAAAAAAAACCATATTGCCCCTGATGGTCTTAATCCTCAGACAGGATAGTTTTAAGTAACCCTTTCATTCAGTACTGCTTTGTTTTATCCCTGACCAACCTGTAATACTTTTATTAATGCTTTTATTAATGCTAGATGAATTTCTTTATAAGCTGGTGGCAGGAAGGGAGAGGAGAGGAGAGGAGAGGAGAGGAGAGGAGAGAAGAGGAGAGCAGAAGAGAAGAGAGAAGAGAAGAGAAGAGAAGAGAAGAGAAGAGAAGAGAAGAGAAGAGAAGAGAAGAGAAGAGAAGAGAAGAGAAGAGAAGAGAAGAGAAGAGAAGAGAAGAGAAGAGAAGAGAAGAGAAGAGAAGAGAAGAGAAGAGAAGAAGAAGGACAAAAGTCCCCTCTCTGCTTACAATTGCCTTTACAAGAGGTCATCTCCTGTGTTATCCAGATGGAAGCATTCTTTAGAAAATCATAGACTAAAGCAAAACTCTGGTGGAATTAGGAGAATATCCTCTGTCCAGAGCTTCGCTGGAGCACATGTCCATTCCTGTCGCAGTGCCTCAGGAGGCTCCAGAGCCAAAGGCTTGAGTGCCTGCCCTACACCCCCTGCACTGGTCAGAGCAAGCACTCCGTCACTCACTAGATAGCAGCTGGTTTGCTCGACAGGGCATTCGTGTCTCTCTGAAGCCTTTCTAAGACATCTGTCAATTTATATTTCCATCTGATCCTGTTCCATCTATTAACAATGACGATTAATAGCAATGAACAATGAAACTGTATACCTCTATATAAGCTTATTGCTTACACTGCCTCAACATTGCAGGATGTGTTGCTCTCCAAGGCATCCTTTACAAGGGTGTAAGTCAAGTTTCCTTCCTACGTGAGCTCAGGCTCATTGGACACCTGCAGAAGGATCCATCTTTTCTTGATTCACCTGGAAGTTCCCTGATCTTTCCTGGGTAGCAGCGAGATCCTCTGAGAGATGAAAGGTGTGAAAGTCTTTGATTTCAGGGAGCTGCACTTCCCCCACTGCAGGTGCAGCTAACCACTAGTCTGAGCTGGCAATAAATGTGTGGCAGAAAGGAATCTCCAGTATTCGTAGAGACTGCTTTTACAGGCATCTCACTTCATTGGATAAAGCACCAAAAACCCCTCAGGTATTCTGAAAGCAGTAAGGCTGCACAAAATGACACAAACACCACGCAGAGAGCTTTGAAGGACGTTCACATTAACCTAGCACCACCGCATCATCCTTCCAAAGGAAAATTTGGTTTACCTTCAGAACAAACTCTCCTTCCCTGTATCACTTAAAAACTCTGTAAATATCTAGGCAGGTGGCCAAGTGAACAGCGAATGCACTGAAGAAAGCAGTTGCCATCTTTTTCACTCTGTATTGATGAGAATACAAAGTCTAATGCATAGGTGCAGGGCAGGAGACTGCACTGCAGCAGCCCCAGGACTGGACTGTTCCTGGCTTGAAGCAAATTGCTTCACGTTTTCATGCACTAATACCTGTCTGTGAAAGTGAGAATAATAGCACCCACTGTAGCTTTCAGAGTTTGCAAATTAATGAACACATATAACATATATTTCTATATAATTCAGTCATATATTTATAATATTTACCTAGATTTCAATATTTTGGTTTGGGTTTATGATTTCATAGAGCAGCAGATAATGCATGTAACTAATTAAGAACGAATAATTAATTCAAATAGTTGTGCTGCTTTCTGGTTTGTTGAATAAC